GGCTACAGGGAACGCAAGGTTGATGAAGCTCATCAATAATTTGCATGAGCTCCCCTGGGGAGATGTAAATGTCTCAGTTGCACTGCTTAGGTAATTTGAATGAAAAGTACTTTTGGAAACTGATCTTTGCAACAACAAGTGTGTGAGTGCACCTTTCCAGAGTTTTAGCCCGAGGAAACTGGTTGCTGGCAAAGTACAATTGGAGCTGTCTTTGAAATCATGTGCAGGTAGTGCTTTGCTTAATGTCCACTTGCTCAGGGACATTTTTAAGTTAGGATGGTTCTGCCCAAGAAGCACTCACAATGTCATGCCCCTGTCGGAGTCTAATTCAGAGAGGGAGGACGAACAGCTGACATGGAGTGGGAGTGTGGCTCTGTTGGCTGTGGAAGACACTGGGGAAGGGCAAAGTCTGGCTGGGCAGATAAGGGGAGAGGTAGAGCAAGGCAAAGGGAATTCAGAGGAAGACTCAGGCCCACCCCCTCTTCATCCTAGGGCACGCAGGGAGGAACGGAGAAGGGAGCAACGTGAGTTGCGTGGCTTATGGGGGAAGAATGGGCCCTGATTCCCTTTATTAGCTGCAGCTGGGAACACAGTGTTTAAAAAGGGAAGCTGCACACAGCAAACTGTTGGGAGCAAACATGAATTTATCTGGTATCGTCAAGGCTTATCTGTGTTCCCGGCGTCTTCCTAACTGTGTGAGTATTGCCATGCTTTCAAGTCTGCAATTCCTTCTCCTGCCCTGTCAAGTTAATTACTGCAGCGTGGTTTGTTTGTATTTTTAGTTACAGTTTGTATGTACTTTGTTTTCACACTAAATTTTCTCCTGTTAAAGGCTGTTCCTGAGAGTTTTTCTCCAGCCGAAGGTAACCTAGACATTGGGGGCAAAGTTGGAGATAATAAAGGGACTCTTATTGCTTATCTGACTGTGTTTCCTTTATGCCACGCCCTGGGTCATCACACATGATGGGACTTCGTGTTTGTGAGCGCTGTCATTTGCAACCCTCCTGCCAGCTTCTGACAAGCAAAGTCAATAGGGAAGGTTGCAATGGCCAGGTAACATCGCATCTTATGACTGCATCGCTTAATGACTGAGTTACTGGTCCTAATTACTGTCAGTAAGTGAGAGCTACCTGTATTGTTGCAAACCTAATGCCTCCCCCATTATTTTCTTCATATTTATGATAATCCTAGGCATTTACATCCCAAGAATTCGGGAACCTTTGGAAACTAATGCAGGTGATATCTGAGGAGGCATTTGAATTTTTTAATTCGATTCTGATTTCTTGGACTAGCTATAACACCAGTCCCAGTGAGCTTTTAAAGATCCGACAGCATTGATTTTCAGAGTGCTAATTGTATCCCGTCGGTTCTTTTCCTTCCAACAGATTTCGTTACGCCTGCCATGTGTTGTTCTCGGAAATCTGTTATTTGAAGAGCATTTCCTATTTAGCTCAGACTCTTAAATGAAGATATATATATCTATATCTATCAATCTATCTGTCTGTCTGTCTGTCTCTAGCTATATATCTACCTTCCTGTCTCTCTCTTTCTGTCTGTCTATCTATCTTGTCTGTCTATCTATCTAGTCTCTGTCTATATCTATATATTTGTCTATCTGTCTATCTATTTATCTGTCTATCTTGTCTGTCTATCTTGTCTGTTTAACTATCTAGTCTGTCCATCTGTCTATATATATCTGTCAATATCTATCTGTCTGTCTGCCTGTCTCTCTAGCTATATATCTACCTTCCTGTCTCTCTCTCTTTCTGTCTGTCTGTCTATCTTGTCTGTCTATCTGTCTAGTCTCTGTCTATATCTATATATTTGTCTGTCTGTCTGTCTGTCATCTATCTATCTATCTATCTATCTATCTATCTATCTATCTATCTATC